ATTCCTACTATATGACATTTTAGAAAAGACAAAACTATGGAGACAGTAAAAAGATCAGTGGTTGTCAGGGATTAAGGATGAGATAGGGATGAATAAGTGGAGCAGAGGATTCTTAGGGCAATTCTGTGATATTATAATGGTGGATACATTCATAATACATTTGTCAAACCCACAGAATATACAATAACAAAAGTGAACCCTAATATAAACTATGGACTCTGTGTGATTATGTTGTCAATGTAGGTTCATCGATTGTAATAAATGCATCACTCCGATGAGAGATTTTGATAACCCGGGAGACTACACATGAGTGGGGGCAGGGGAATATGGGAAATCTGTGTGCCTTATGCTCAATTTTGCTGTGAACTTAAAACTACTCTAAAAATAAAGTCTAATACAACACAACACACACACACACATACACACACACACACACACACACACACACACACGCTGCCCAAGTTATCGAAATATTTTAAGCATGTGAGGGGTACATCAAGAAAGATTATTTGACATTAGGACTGTCCTGGGAAAGCTAGAGCTCTGGAAAGCCTAAACCAAAAATGTAGGCAGTGTTTTCCAAATTGGAGTTCCATGTTCTGTGCTTAAATAAGTTAATTAGGTTTCTTTATTGAGGGACTGAACACTCACACAGCGCACATATGTGTATGGTGAATCTCTAGGGTAACTAGCATATGCAGCTATTACCTAACATTTGATCCATGTCTTTATTACTGATGAGCCTCAGTCCAGCTGGATGCCGGTGTAACCCTGTAGAGAAGCTTTAAATAGTCCAAATTTTTCTCCTTAGAACTAATTCAACATAATTCAGTTATTTATCTCATCATAATTCAGTTATTTATCTTATTTGGCTGATTCCAAACCACTAGAATCTAGGCTCCATGAGAATAGAGGTTTTTGTCTGTTTTATTCACTATCACATTCCCAGTGTCCAGAGCAGTGCCTGACACATAGTAGGTGCTCAATACATATTTGTTGAAAAAATGAGTGAGTGAGCAAAGGAATATACAATTTTTATTCTGTCCACAAGTCTTCAGTGAAGAAATTCTGGTAGAGGTACAGTAGTACCCTGTTATCCGTGGTTTCACTTTCCATGGTTTCAGTTACCCACAGGCAACTGAGGTATAAAAATATTAAATGGAAAATTCCAGAAATAAATAATTCATAAGTTTTAAATTGCTTGAGTTGCACGAAGAACTCTCACCTGAGCTGTGAATCATCCCTTTGTCCAGCATATCCACACTATATATACAATACAATATTTTAAGAGAGAGACCGCATTCACATGTTTATCTCAAAATCGTTCCCTTTTATTATGTTATTATTGTTAATTTCTTAGTGTGCTTTTTATAAATTAAACTTTAAATATGTATAGGAAAAATATAGTATGAATAGGGTTCAGTATATATAAGCATCCACAGATAAGGTGGAAATACTGTAATTATATCAAATTCTGATCCATGGGGTTCATATTTCTGAGCTCTTTGTATAATATTTATTCTTGTTGCTGTTTTTCCCAACGTATTTTTTCTGGATGGAGAAGTTGGAGAAGTTAAGGAAATAACGCAGGAGTTGAGGGCCTTGGGTTCTGACCCCACTCTATTGATCATAATAACAACTAACATGCATATTGCAATTTTCTTCCAAAAGCTATTGCACTTGGTTCTCAAAATATCACTGGGAGGCAGATATTATCACCTTCATTTTCAGGTAGATAGGCAGCCTTAGAGAGACTCTCCCAGTGTCACTCAGGTGGTATTAGATCAGCTTTGATATAAATCCTGGTCTTAGCATGTCAAAGTCCATGTTTATTCCATTGCACCATTGCCTCCCTAGCTGGTTGTATATGCTGGGAAGCCACTTCCCCTTTCTAGACCTCGGCTCCTTTACCTGGAAAATGCCCAGGTGATCTTTTAGATTCCTTCCAAATTTAAATTCTATGATTCTATGAGCCTCCTTGTCCTCCATCACCTATTTTTAAAAATTGCTATAGTTTTAAAAATTACTGAAATAATGATATTTTATTTCTGCTTGTAATTTCACAGCTCTTTCAAAATCTGACTCAGGTGCTAAAAATCAAATTATGAAAAATTTCCCTTTCCTTTTAAGTAATGCCTAGAAACAGAATACCTTGAAAAAGAATAAATTGGTTTTAAGCATAGTAACTTCATTATCTTTTTAAAAAATGCCAGTAGAATTTTTCTCTGAACTTATTTCAAAACTAAAGATATGGAAGAAAATATAGCCATTTTAAATATAGAAATATTTATAGAATATTGTATTCTATATAATATAGAAATGATATATATAATGTTCTACATATAATATGGAAATTAGACCATTTGGAGCAGAATAAAAATAAATAATTATGAAATATTTATTCACCGAATAGCTAAATAAATAAACCTTTCCAAAAAGAAAAGGCAAAGCCTGATCTTCAGTTTATTATTTATGCGGAAAATTAACTTTATATGCAAAACATATGTATTATTCACATATAAACCAACAGAGTGAGTTTTATGTATTTCTTCATAGAGCATTTTGTTTTGTCTAGAATTTTATTAGTGGCCATATAGAAAAAAACCTGCTTTTGGTGTCACATGAAAAAAACTTAACACAGAAAAATCTGTATTTGCACAGCCTTTTTGCATTTTATTTTGCTAAAAAGTAGAATTCACACGGTCCAAAAAACAACATGCAAATTATTTTTATGCACACCTCTTACACATTGTATTCTACTTCCGAAATCTTAAAATTAAAAAAAATCCCCAAACAAAAGTAATAGGTTGAAAGTTAACATTATAAAAGCTAGATTCCTAACACAAACACTGCAAACACAAGTCACTCAGTTGCAAAAAAATTAATGTTTATAAATGTTAAATAAATGTCAGCAATGAAACAAGAACTGTATATCCAAAGTGTACTCCCCACCATGAACTGTTAAAAATTGTTTGGTGTTGTAGGCCATCCATGATGTTAATCTGAAATAGATACAATGTTAACCCCTATGCTATGCCAAACTTACAAATATGGAGGAAACCATATTCAAACTACCTCCTTTCCCTCCTACCTTTAAAATATTTTTGTTTTGTTTTGCGTTTTGGTAAATAAAAGAGTCCCTCAGAATCTACACTAGCTCTGAAATGTAAAAAAACAAACAAAAACAATTCAATACATGACTATGATGAAGTTCTCCTTTGAGATATTTCACTTTTCTTTTTAATGATTGCACACTTTTTAATGATCATGTGTGTGCATGCGTGTGTGTGTGTGTGTGTGTGTAAACCATTTCAAAAGATTATTTTTGGAAACTTAACTCTAGGGAACTTTTTTTTCCTTTCCTCAAGACTAGTCCTTGATAATTTAATAGTTTGGTGTGGGGGGAGGGGTTGTTTTCTTTCTTTCTTTCTTTCTTTTTTCTTTTTTTTAGAGAAAACCTACCTAGAGCCTTTCTGAACAATCAGCAACCTCCTTGTCCTTGTATATTTGAACTTTCCAAAAATAACAAAATGCTCCAAGGTACTTGTTTGCAACTCCTGAAAAATGTCCAGGCACTCCCTGCAGATTTTACTCCGTTTGGTGCTCTATATTCACTTTCTCACAGCACTAAGTTAAGGAAGGGCCCTGTGGTAGGAGCATGTTTATATCCCTCCTGGTGCTCCCTGGGGGACATTGGTGGCTTTACTCTTGGAAAGAAACACAGGCCTCCTGCTAGGGACACATCTAGTTGCTTCCCTCTTCCTGGGGGAAAAGAGACATTCAAGTTTAAAGTCAGTCCCTGGAAGCCTCAGTTCTCAGGAAAAAAAAAAAAGTGTTCTAATGCATTTTCATAAAAGATTTCAAGCATATAAAGAGAAAATCCAAAACAGGAGTGAGAAGAGACTAGCAGTGAGCTGGAAGAATGCTTAAGTATTGTGCTCAAGTGAGAAACATCCACTCGAACTGCTTACTTCAGTGCTATGTTCAATGAGTATAATAAGAGTGTTTCCTAAAAGAGAAAGAGCCTTATATTCCATTTCCAATCTCAGAAACTAAAGCTTCTCCCTTTATCATCAAACAGCTTTATAATGCTTACTTAACTCAAACTATCACTAATATTTTAAAGAAGTTTGAATACTCAAGTCTATTTTGATAAATACTTAAATAATTGCTAGATCAACCCAGCTCATACATTTTCAAAATACTGGCCAAAATGGCAAACGAGTTTATATCAGTCCATCTTTTTCTTCCAGCAGTCAACACAATGGTGTATAACCAGTGTGCTGCATTTAAAGGAACATATGAGAAGGATGGTGCTGATTTGAGGTGGGAGGGCCTGCCAACCCATGCATTCATTCTGAATGAAGTTGGCAGAATGTAAGGTTCCTCTTCCCCACCTCGAGTTTGGACGTGTTCTCAGCCTGTTCTGCCATCCTGTTTCAGACATCTTCTTTTCCACAGGTCACTAAGCCTGCTGGGGGACCAGGTGCTGAGGAAGACTTCATAAATGAGCTGTCATAGGCCTGGCAGTGAAATACATGCACATGACTGGACATTCACGCTAACGAACCTAACCGCATAAAGCAAAACAAGGGCCAAACACAACCCGGAGTCATTTAAAAATCTCTCACACACAGCAAAGCAAAACTGGAAAAACCCAATTCCACTTTCCCGTCACAATTCAAAAAGGAGCTAAGCTTTCTGGGGCATCGGGTGTTTCAGATTGAAAGAGGGGAGCTAAAGAGCCCATCTTTCCTCAGCTGTCAGCAGTGCGAGCCAGAACCCTTCCTCAAGCCAGGTCAATTGCTCAGTGGCTCCCAGAAGACATCGCTCTGGATGTCTGAGCTCCCTTTAGGATGTTCGAGTCTGTTCAAGGTCTGAAGTCTGATGTGCAGAGGTAGCTCCATGACTCTAGTAATGGAATAACACTTCCTTTTTTGGTGAGCAAAGCCCAGTCTGCCTTAGCTAATAAGCTCTCAGCTCTGACCCTAAAAATACCCTGCAGGGAGGACTGTTTGGCACTTCATTTCGTTTGCCAGAGGAGCTCTAAAGAACTCCACAGAATGTTTCAGATTCTCTGTAACTGCTCTGGGCTCTGTCCCTGCTCTGGTGACCTCAGGAAGTATATCACCTTGGGAAAGTTACTTTTTGTTTTTCTCTTTTCAGTTCTTAGAATTCTGTCCTAATGTCTAAAGTACGATTCCAGTCTTGGATTAATTACTAGCTTGGTTTAGGGATTTTCATTTGGCTTTTAGTCTGAACTATGCAAATACACAATCTGTGTGCAGAAAAAAAGACTAAAATTACACTTTAAAAGGGCTCAGTTACTTCCTGTCTTCTCCCTTTACCCCCAAAAGAGATATCAGCCTCCTTGAATCCTTTGTTGCCAACAGCAGGAGCAGCTCACCACCTGTCTGCATCAGAAGCCTTGGGCTTCCTAAACATTGACGGCGTGTGCATGCTTCTTGCACAGAGGTTTGTCTTTCTTGGAATAGAATGGCTGCCCCTCCAGATTCACATGGCAGACCTGGGACAGAAAAAAGACTGGTGTGACACAGGGCCTTGTAACCCATGAGGCAAGGGGGACATAAGCAAAAGATTTCAGTCACCCCTTTAAGAAAAAGCGCTGTCGCGTGCAAATGAGAGGAAAGGCAACAGTGTGTTTAATGATTAAAGCAGATAAATAAGTTGAACTACATAAAATTTAAGCCTTACAAACAGTAACATGGAATAAAACTCAAATCAAATTAAATTAGTAAAATTTAATGGAACACAGAAAATATACATATTAAAGCCCAATTGATGCTGTCTAAAACTTATAAAAAAAACAAGTTCATAGATCAATATCCACCAAGATTATTAATGTCTAAAGGAATGCCATCAGTAAACTAAACACGTCAAAAAAATTGTCTCCACTAATAATTAAATAAAATTAAATTAAAACGTCCATAGATACGATACAGACCTATTAATCTAGCAAAATTAAAAAAAAAAACTGAATGGCTTGTCACCTTTAACCTTTTATGACTATAGCCAAAAAGTGAAAAAAATAAATAAATCAAAAGTCTGCAATGCCAAAAGGAAGTAGGCCTACTTGTGTATTGCTAGGAACATATAAATCAGCTCAGTCTTCTGTAGAGAATGTGGCAATGGTGAAGAGGAGAATTTTCTATTACAGAAACTATTGCACAAAACAAGAAATCAATCTGTGCTCAACTAAAAACAAAATCACTAAAATTTCTCTCAGTAGGGTGATAGTTAAGTAAATTTTTATAGTGTTTTTTTTCCAACAAAATGCCACCATGAAAAAGATAAATCAAATATGGAAAAGTGATTGCAGGGAAATATTATATGAAAAAAAGGACAAAATTATATATTCCCATGATGGCAACATATGAGCAAGTTTGAAGATGGAGACATTACAGAAAGAAGGGAGCTAAGTAATACTTGTTGAGCTACTGAGGGTCAAACAGGATGCTAGACACTATGTAGATGATCTCATTTAATTTTCACAAAAACCTTATAAAATAGGTATAACTTTTCCCCCTTTCACAATTGAAAAACTGAGGCTCAATGATTTCCAGTTAAGATGACAAAGTAGGTAAATGCTCTGCTTGTCTCTTTTTATAACCACACCAAAATTACAACTAAACTACAAAACAACCATCAATGAGAATCACCTAAAATCTAGCTGAAGTTCCACAACTACGGACATAGAGAAGAAGCCACCTCAAGACTGGTGGTGGGCCGGAAGATGTGAAACGGGTTGGTCACACACCTGTGTGTGGCAATTGAGAATCAGGAGGGATATCTTGGCTGAGAAGGTCCCTGCTGATGAGCAAGGAGCCACAGCCCCAAACCAAGGCCCCCAACCAGGGTTCCAGTGCCAGGGAGAGAAGTCCCCACAACTTCTGGCTGTGAAAACCAGCAGAGATTGTGACTGAGTGAGACAGAGGGCAGCTGGAGTTACATGTGCTCTTCTTTTTCTTAAAAAAAAATTTTTTTCAATTATACTTGTCATATAAGATTATATGATTCAGGTGTACGACATGTGATTAGACATTTATATAACTTACAAAGTGATCACCCTGATAAATCCAGTACTCATCTGACACCATACATAGTTATTACAATATTATTAACTATATTCCTCATGCTATTCTTTATATCTGCATGACTATTTTGTAATTACTAATCTGTACCTCTTAATCCCTTCTCCTTTTTAACCCTAGTCCTCAAAACCCCCTCCCATCTGGCAACCATCAAAATATTCTCTGTATCTATGAGCTTCTTTCCGTTTTGTTTGTTTATTTATCCTGTTCTCTAGATTCTACATGTAAGTGAAATCATATGGCAATTGTCTTTCTCTGTCTGACCTACTCCAATCAGCACAATACCCTTTAGGTCCATCCACGTTGCAGATGGCAAGATTCATTCTTTCTTATGGCCAAATAATATTCCATTGTATATATGTGCCACTACTTCTTTATCCTTTCATTCAATGATGAACACCCAAGTGGCCTCCATATCTTGGTTACTGTAAATAATGCTACAATAAACATATGGATTCACATGTCTCTTCAAAGTTAGTATATTGGGTTAGCAATCCCAGACATGGGATTACTGGGTCCTTTGTTTTAAAGTCTATTTTGTCTGGTATAAATATTGCTATCCTAGCTCTTTTTTTTCCATTTTCATGAAATATCTTTTTCCATCCCTTTACTTACAATCTAGTATGTGTCTTTCAATCTGAATTGAGTCTCTTGTAGGCAGCATATGTAAGGCTCTTATATTCTTATCCATTCAGCCACCCCATCTTTGGATTGGTGATTCTCTGAGACCTCACCCCACCCAATTTGCTGGCCCACCCAAGTTGCTTCCAATGGCTTTTCCATACAAACGGCCTGCCTTGCCACAAGTTGTGGACTTTCCTAAAATCTCTCAAAGGTTCACAAAACCCAAACAAGCAGCGTCTGGCTTCAGTATGCCCCATACCTCTTGCTGAGCAGCCCCAAGCCCGGCATTAGCAGTAGCTGGCCTACGTTTGCAGCTTGGCCTCTCAAGGTATCTTCAAGCCCAGCTTGGGTGGCGGCCATCTGCAGATTGCTTGGTAACTCTTGCCAAGTGGCCCCGGGCAGGGCACAGGCTGCAGTTGAAGTTGGTCTTATTGGGGACCCTCCCAGGAGGCCCTGGGCCTGGCACAACCAGTTGCCAGCTTCCAACCGAGCTGGAGGACCAGCTGAGGCCACATCCAAAGAACATACACCCAAAAGGCAAACTGGCCAGGCACCAGGGCCCTGCAAAAGGGAATCCTGCTTCTTAGTGTCAGCCCCTGCACAACAGTTCCTCCACTGTAGTCACTGGCCAGTCCTCACAACCGATCAGCCTAATGGTCAATCCCTCCCACTAACATGCAAACAGCAACCAAGGCTCAACCACAACAGAAGGGCACATACAACCCATACAAGGGACACACCTGGAGCACCCTGCTCAGGTGACCAAGGAGACTGTGCCACTTGGTCCCACAAGATACCTACTACATAAGGCCACTCTACTAAGACCAGGAGACATAGCAGCTCTATCTAATACATAGATACAAACACAGGGAGGCAGCCAAAATGGATGATAAAAAACAGGACCCAAATGAAGGAACAGAGCAAAGTTTCAGGAAAAAAAACTAAGCAAAATGCAGACAAGCAATCTACCAGATGCAGAGTTTGGTTATAAGGATGCTCAATGAACTTAGAAGAGTAGATGAACTCACTGAGAATATTAACAAAGAATAGAAAATATTAGAATGGAGATATAAAACATAAAAAAGAACCCATCAAAAATGAGAATAGAATAATTGAAATGAAGAATACATTAGAGGGAACCAACAGTAGATTAGATGGAGCAGAACATCAAATCAGCGATTTAGAAGATAAGGTAGCAGAAAACACCCAATCAGAACAGCAGAAAGAAAAAAAATCTGCCCCCCCCCAAAAATGAGGATAGTTTAAGGGGCCTCTGGGACGATGTGTACCAACATTCACACCATAGGGTACCAGAAAGAGAAAAGAGAGAGCAAAAAATTGAAAACATATTTGAAGAAATAATGACGGAAAACTTCCCTAACCTGGACAAGGAAACAGTCATATAAGCCCAGGAAGCGCGAGAATCCTAAAAAAGATTCACCCAATAAGGCCCACACCAAGACACCTCATAATTAAAATGCCAAAGGTTAAAGGCAGAGAGAATCTTAAAAGTGGCAAGAGAAAAGCATCTAATTACCTACAAGGAAGCTCCCATAAGACTGTCAGCTGATTTCCCAACAGAAACTTTGCAGGCCAGAAAGGATTGGCATAAAGTAGTCTGTGATGAAAAGCTAAGACCTACAACCAAGATGACTCTACCCAGCAAAGCTATCAATTAGAATTGAAGGAGAGATAAAGATAGCCCAAATAAGAAAAAGCTAAAGGAGTTCATCACCACCAAGCCAGTATTACAACAAATGTTAGAGGGACGTCTTTAAGAAGAAGAAGGGAAAAAATAAAAAATATGAATAATAAAATGGCAATAATTATGTATCTATCAACAATTACTTTAAATGTAAATGGATTAAAAGTTGCCATAAAAAGATAGGGTGGCTGAATGGATATGAACATAAATTACATATGCTGCCTACAAGAGACTCAATTCAGATCGAAAGACACATACTAGACTGAAAGTAAAGGAATGGAAAATATATTTCATGAAAATGGAAAGAAAAAAGAAAACTAATATTGTCTGGCAATACGTATACCAGACAAAATAGACTTTAAAACAAAAGCTATAACAAGAAACAGAGATGAACCTGGGAATCCCACTTCTGAGTATTTATCCAAAGAAACCCAAAACACTACTTCAAAGGAACATGTAAATTGATATGTTTATTGCAGCATTATTTACAATAACCAAGATATGGAGGCCACTTGGGTGTTCATCATTGAATGAAAGGATAAAGAAGTGGTGGCACATATATACAATGGAATATTATTTGGCCATAAGAAAGAATGAATCTTGCCATCTGCAACAACGTGGATGGACCTAGAGGGTATTGTGCTGATTGGAGTAGGTCAGACAGAGAAAGACAAATGCCATATGATTTCACTTACATGTAGAATCTAGAGAACAGGATAAACAAACAAACAAAACAGAAAGAAACTCACAGATACAGAGAATATTTTGATGGTTGCCAGATGAGATGGGTTTTGGGGGCTGGGTTAAAAAGGAGAAGGGATTAAGAGGTACAAATTGGTAGGTACAAAATAGTCATGGGGATGTAAAGAACAGCATAAGGAATAGTCAATAATATTGTAATAACTATGCATGGTGTCAGATGGGTACTAGATTTATCAGGATGATTACTTCTAAGTCATATAAATGTTTAATCACTACCTGAAACTAATATAATATTATATGCCAACTGTAACTGAAAATTTTTTTTAAATATTTTTTTTAAAAAAGAAAGAAAAACTAAGGCTTAGAGAGCCCAAGTGTCTTGTTTAAGTAACAGACCTAGTAAGTTGTAGACTGGGAACCCATATCCAGGTCTGCAAGACTCCAATTCTAAGCTCATTTTCCACATAGCCCATAGCAGAGAGGGGCTGCATTTACTTGAAATTTTTCTGGGTTTACGAACTTGTACAGAGGCAGCCCTCCAAGTTTGTTGGACTACCAATAAGTAGGCTAGCCAATGTGTCAGAGTTAGCTAGGAAGTCATGGGTCCCAGCCTCAGAAAGGGTACTGAGGATCCCTAATGGGAAGCAGAATTGGGGGCCACATCCAGGACACTAACATTGGAAGAAGTGCAGGTAGAGTTCCCATGTATGGATAGGCATGAGAATAGAGAAATCACCCTACTAAAATGAGCTTGGGTCAGTGAGCATGTGTCCACTCCAAGAGCACTGAAAAGAAAAGTGACATCATGGTAGCCCCAAGTGCAAGGCCCTGATGGATAGTTGAAGATGTTATGCTTGGGGTCACCCAGGGCTGCCAATGGGCTCTGGAAACTAATGACCTGAAAGTGTCTACAATCATCCCAGGTGCATGTAGTCATGTTTAGAGTCACCAGGCTCTTGTGGTGGTCTCATGCTGCTGATGACAACTTGAAGACAAATCTAAGAAGGAGGCAATCAAGATTCAACTGAGGATGGATTTCAGGGGAGATAGGCAGCTCTAGAGTGAGTTGGCAAGAAAATGCTTGTCAATTCTGCCTGATCTGAAACAGTGCTGGTTAATTGTGAGAACTCTCGGATGAGTCAGGCTGGAGAGGTTTTGGGGGACTGAAGACCAAGGAGTAAGGAAAGGCCAGAGACGCAGAGGGGGCTCACTGATAAGACTGGGCTGAGGGCAAGAACTTTCACAGAGACGTTGTATTCAGTGTCCTGGGCCAGGAGACTGCAGGTGGGATGCAAGGGGGCTTCATGGTGGAGAAAACCTCCAGCCTACCCAGCATAGGACATAGCAGGGATATACCTCTGGAGAACAGATTCACCTCCCAGGCTCCGTGGTCAAGTAGCATCAGGGTCTGGGAGTGGTGACCATAAACAGTACTGACCACAGAGTGGAAGGCAATAAAACAGGCCAAGTGCTTAGGACTACTCACAAAAGTTATACCACTAACTATCCCCTCATGATACCCACACTGGTGGGAAAGGACTAGAAACTAAGTAAACTTAGAGGAAATAGGGACCAGTAAGATCTTTCCTCCACTAAGGAAGGACCCAAATTCTTTCCCTGGAGCTCAAGTGCCAAAGACACACAGGAGCTCAACTTGCACCCTGACCCACACTGTCCTTCTCACCTTCATTTTGTATGCTTGGGACTTCAGAGATGTTGTCTTGTTCTGTTCTTTAACTAGTTGTACATGTTAGCTTTGTTTTCCTTTCAATATGCTAAATTCCTTGATGATAGAGACTTGTTCTGGATACTCTTGTACACAAAACTCATAGAATATTTGGTAATTTGAATTAGTCTAAAGGATGTGCTTTCCCGAGATATGACTGATGGGGAAAATAGCACATCAACTGGGAGAGCTAGTCCTGATCTTCCTTTCTTGCTAGTTTTTTTAAGTTATAGGAAAATATACGCTCATTAAAAGTGATTTGGAAATATAATGTGAGAGAAAGAGGACCAAAAGAACCCTCAAAGGTTTCCAATCAAAAGATTGCTTCAAAAATTAAAACCATGCTTCCCTTTGATACATCTTAATGGGACAGTGAAGGCCACAGATGGCTAGTTTGGGGGAAGATTTAACAATTCTCTATGTTAATTCTCCAAAGAATAGGATCTGCCTGGTTTTTTTGGGTGTATTCTTTAGGCAGTGCTAAAACTTATTTATAATCTCAGCCTGAACAACCCTAAGTTTTACTGCTTCTTGTGGACTTCCTCTGGGACTTGTGCTCTCGTGACTCTCAGCCAAACACGTGTGGCAGGCTCAAGGGAGCAGATGCATGCTCACCTTTGCCATGGTTCCCTCTCCATGTGACACAGATTCTCATCAGCCTGCCTTCAAAGAACAGGTCTTGTGTGCCACTGTCTTCCTTGGACTTTCCCCAAGTCTCTTGGATCCTTCTAGAAGTTGAGTAACCAGATTTACGGGCAGCATCTTAGGATCAGACAAGCAATGGCTTGAATGTAAGGGTTAAAGAGCCATATGCTGTGCCTTGCTGAGCTCTGGCTCTGTAGAGGACAACACCAAAACTAATATATTTATATTGCTGTCCCTTTTGTGAGTGGTGGCCCTGATATATTTAAAGGACCCTAAAAGGCAACTAGAGAATCTGTTCAAAGAGCTGGAAAGTAAGTGTTATGGATCTAATTATGTCCCCCCAAAATTCACACATTGAAGTCCTAACCATTAGTACCTCCAACCTACCCAGCGCAGGGACACAGCAATGACCTCATTTGGAAATAGGGTCTTTTCAGATGTAATTAAGATGTAACTTGAGGTCATACTGGAGTAAGTTGGGCCCTTAATCCAATATGACCAGAATCCTTATAAGAAGAGGAGAGGTACACACAGAGACAGACACACACACAAAGGAGAATGCCATGCGAAGACACAGACACACAGAGGGAAGATAGCCATGTGACAATGGAGCCAGAGACTGGAGTTACGCAGTTATAAGCCAAGAAACACCTAGGATTGCTGGCAAACACCGGAAGCTAGGAGAGAGAACATAGCCTTGTTGACACCTTGAATTTGGACTTCTAGCCCCCAGAACTGTGAGAAATAAATTTCTTTTGTTTAAGCCATTAGTTTGTGGTACTTTGTACAGCAGACCTAGCAGACTAATACACAGAGTAAATATAGTGCATCCCACTAATGGGAGGAGCAGTATAGAAATAAATTGTAAAACCTGAAGTGTATTGCAGTAAACTTTATTACTAAGGTTGTCCTATGTCATAAGTCTATAAAAATTCTTCAAGTTTAAACTATACAGACCTTTCACACACTCCCAAAATTTACCTTGAGTAGCTCTGGTAAAAATAAAAATAGTAGTAGTAGCACATTCATTTTCTCAAATAAAGTTTAGTCAATGACAGATTGACATTACAGGGCTTTATCAGGGATGACTATTGTCTAACTCTAATGCAGAATCTAAATGTCATAGATTCATTACCATATCTACTCCCCAACCCAAAGCCCTCAGAAGGAAAATGCCAATCTTGCACGGTAAAAATGACCTGGTTGTTTAGCAGGAATAAATTGCACATGGTTGATAGTTAATCTAAGGCTTATCTCTTGGCAACTACATACCAAGAACAAGACCATTTAGGAAAATGAAATGATACTCAGTTCTGCTCTCTAAAAGTTCTATCAAAGGAAACCTTACCTCAGCTTTTCATAGGATTAGTCAATAAGCGCCAGCCTAGTGTTCCTGGAGAAAACCCTTGAATCACATATCTAAAACAACCTGTAACCACAGGAAGCCATCCACCCCTCTTTAAATCTAAGCTTCATTCACTGCTCCCACCTACTGAGAATAATGTTGGTGAGAGAAGCTGCTGGTTTGCCAGATCCTAGGACACTGTGTCCTTAATGAAATAGAGTATAACAAAGCCACACTGGTTTATAGAAAATATTAGTAATAAAACAAGGCTCAACTATGACATATTAAGGCATCATAGTATTGGCCAGATTTTAAAAATGATCAGAATATTAGAATGCCAGAGTTCAAATAATGTAAACTGTTGGTCTTTTGGTCCACTTCATCCCTCCTGCCCCTTCTCAGAAAGTCAGAACCCCAGGCTAAAAACATACTGCGCAAATGAAGCAGGTATCATGCCAGGTATGCCCCAGAGCTTCGATAAACTTGTCACCAGCCTCAACAGGGAAATCACAGCCATGACACTTGGTGCTGAACAGATTGATGTAGTCTGAAATGAAAGGCAGAGTGAGGATCAGCATCCAGGCAAGCTGGAAGGAGCGTCCTGGTCATATCAACCCAATGCCAGGACAACCCCCAAATTACTGGGCTAGGGGCAGTGGGTGAATCCTAATTGATTACTTGTCATCTTGCAGACAAAATAGTTATACGATTGTGGTTTTTTTTCTCCTTTTCAAATAATACGCACTGCTGTTGTACGGATTCAGGCTTAGTCACCATCCTGTTCTGGTTGGTGACAAACACTTTCAACGAACACTTTCTCAAACTGTCATTAACTTTCTGTAAAGTAATTTTCTCCTGTCCCTGTTACCTCTTATAGCCAAACATACCAATCCCAAAAAAGAAAAAAAAATCACATTTCTCAGCAGCTATGCTTATTTTGAAAGAATGAGAGCCCTTAACATTTTTAATAATTAAAGAATGTTCTTTCCCTGGTCATTCTTCTGTCATTGGCCATTTGTGTTAATAATAACTTTTCACTATTTCAATATTTTAGCTACTTTGTTGGGACATGTCTCCTGCCACCTCCCCCCAACCTCTAGCCAAGAAGATAATACCACCAAACATTATTTTCTAATGCTTTATAGTTTATCATGCATTCTCACATAGATGGTATTATTTACTAGTATCTCAATGTCAAGGTCTTCATACTCCCGGCAGAGTGCCTGAGCACATAAGTTAGTACCCAACATGAGTGAATGGATGAATCAATGAATCAATAAGTCAATGAATGAACTTAATTGTTGCAAAAAAATTGTTGAAGACTGAACTATTATTGATTTTCTGTTTTGTTTGGTTGTATTTTGTGGATGAGGAAAAGAGATCAGAGGTGAAGGGCCTCACCAGTCACACAGCTGAGACACAGTGGTCCAGGTCCCATGCTTCTCCACTAAATGAGCTGTTCTCTTTGGGTCACAGGAGCAGCAGTTCTACTGCACTCATTGTAGAACCCTTCCAGGTTCTTCTAGAAAAGCTTGATGACTTTTACAAAGCCTTCATTTCCCCAGGAAATTATTTGTCTCTCCACAGCTCTGCCACAGTTGGCTTTTGCTTACAGCAATTTTCTGCTCAGATCTCCTTGTGGACAGTATGCCTGTTCATTGTCTTAGACACACACTAAGAAGCAGAGTGCAGTATGGGGTAATAAATTTGAGTTCTGAAGAAAGAAAAGAACTGGGTTCAGGTCCCAGCTCTATTAAGGAATTGTTCAAATATGAGGCAAGTTGCCTGACTTTTCAACACCTCAACTTTCTCATCTGTATAATGGGAACAATTGTAGTGCCTAATTCATGGAGTTATTATACAGAATAAATAAGATAATGTATGCGAAGTACGTGGTTCAAATACTCAAATGTTGGCTCTTATTTTGAATGTCTTTATAAATGATAAAAGGAGGGAAGAGAACTGATTCAAGTATCTACTATGTGTTAATCCAATATTAGTGCTTTTCTATGTTTCTTGTTTAATCTTCACAGCAGTCCTGTGAAAAAGTATTATTTCTATTTTAAAAATGAGGAAATGGTTGTAGAGGTTCCATCACACAAGTAGCCTGATGGACTCCAAATTTATCATCCTCTTTCCATGACTTCATGGTATCTCCAGTTATCTATTTGCCATTGAACTTTGATAAGTATCTCTTACATATTTTTCCAATGTCTGGTTTCTCTCTTTGGGTTTAATTATAGTTTGTCATGCAAATGCTTTTACATATATCACAGTCCATGAATCTTGTTTCTGACAGAATACTTAATTTCTTCAGTAGGCTGAAATCTATCATCTCACCAGAGCTAAGAAAACATTATTCTGTTTCCTTCAGGAAGTTATGGCAGGTTTACGGTTCACTCTGTGCTCTGTAGGAACTTATCAGCATGGGGTGAAAAACAGGGCTATAGGCTAACTCATCTTCACTGGAGGGCAAGACCTGCACCCCACTCCTGACTTCTCTCTCCCTACTCCCAGTCAGTCTCCAGATACCCTGGGCTCTCTCCTCCACTTCCATGCCTTTAGATAAACCAAGAATTGGACTTGGAAAACCCTCTCCAGTTTGTCTATCTGAACCTCTGCAATCCTTTGGGCCAGGCTTTCCTTCTGGGAAGTTGTCATCCCCACCCCAACCAAGAGATATGAGATTGCCTTCCTGAGTGCATCTCCTGGGCTTCCTTTCCTTTTCATCCACTCATTCATTATCTCTTAACTGTCCATTTATGTGCTGGCACATCACACAATGACGGGTCTACTTGAGGTTTTTGAGGGCAGAGAACCTCTTTTCCAAGCTCAGCATCTTGCACACGAACTAGCACACATTTGATGGATAAATGATGAATTGACAAAGAAAGAAATGGTTTGGAATGCCTAATTAAATGGTAATTCCTTCTCCTGTTGTACAGCCTATGGTTTTTTACAGATTAAGCTCTGAAATGGCTTGATAGTATTTCTGGAATGTCTAGTCATTCCCACTGATTGATTTTTGTTTTAAACTTGATCTGGAGAATTGCCACTTTGTTTTAAAATTTGGTAGAACAGGTCTGACTCTAACATATATTTTTTAAAAAGCTGATTTTTCCTCTTTTATCTACAAAAAGAGAACGTAATTGGTATCGAATTAAATTTGTGCATGGGCCTTTCCCACTAGGAGCATAATCTAGTTCCTCATTTATTTATTCCTTCCTTTATTTCTCCTATTCGGTCTTTATAATTTTCTTTGACTCTCTTATGGCACAATTTGAGTTCACACCCTGTAGTTAATTGATTTTACTGCTATTGTAAAAGGATTTCCATCCATCAAATCACAGATGCTCTGTGTTGAAAAAGGAGGACTTAGTGCTTTACTAGAGCAGTGGTTATCAAATGTTAGAATCATCTGGAGGTTCATTAAAACACAGTGTTGGGCTCCACCCCACAGAGTTTCTGATTCGATAGATCTGGGGTGGGGCCAGAAGACCTGTCATTCTAACAAATTCCCAGGTGATGTTAATACTGCTGGTCCTGGGCCCACACTTGGATTCCCAAACCTAACTAAATATTGAAATCACCTAGGTTGGGGAGGGGCACCACATCAAATTTGTCATCTGGAGGTCTGGGAATTTATCTTCTCTAATCTCTTATAGTTCCCCCCGGTAATTGTGATGCCTTGCCAGGCCTGGGCACTGCTCAGGTGCAAGCCCACCTGTGAGGGGCTGACCCTCCTACCTGTCTTATATATAAGATGTCATATATGAAAGTGTCAGCATAATCATTGCAGCCAACCAAAATCTTTGTGAGTCTAGATTCTATCATCCTGTGTTTTCTGTCAAGCTGCTGATAAAAATGATGACAAAGTACCACAATGAGATACTACCTCATTCTCATTAGGATGGCTGCTATTAAAAGTATCATAAAATAACAAGTTTGGGCAAAAATGTAGAGAAATTAGAACACTGCACTGTTAGTGGGATGTAAAATTGTGCACCCAACATAGAAAATAGTATGGCAGTTCCTCAAAAAGTAAAAAAATACAACTACCATATGATCCAACAATCCTACCTCTGGGCATATACCCAAAAGAAAACAGGATCTTGAGGAGGTATTTGCACACTCATGTTCATAGCAGCTCTATTCACAATAGCCAAGAAGTAAAAGGAACCCAAATGTCCACCAATCCTTTTAAGGGTATTGCTATGGAGAAGGACAGTGGTGATGGTGGAAATCTATCATTCCTTCACAAACCTGAGACACAAATTATGGCTTATCACAAATTATAAAAGTTATAATGCTTTTAGTCGATTAATAATGCTTTTAGTCGCATTGGAGCAACAGCACTTTTCTCAATCACCAATCATCATCATATGCTCATAAGAAGGGAAAACATGGGTGTTATCTTCTCCTTTTTACAGATATGGACACTGAGGTACAGAGTTACTAAGTCACTAAGTCATTCAATTAACTTCAGAGCTAAAAAGAGAACTCACTAATATATAAGAAATTGCTTTTACAATTTATTGTTGGGGGAACAAGTTTCATTTTGTTTTTCTTTTCTCCTTGAGAAACTGTAATGTTTTCTCCTTTCTAATTTTAAAGTAAATTAACTTACTGTTTCTCTTTTTGCCCTCAAATGTGCTACCCAGTCACTGCTTCTCTGTTAATCTTTATAATCAGCATGCCTGCTTTTCCCTCTTCTAACTAGTACTGATTTTCTATTTCTATTGTCTTAACCTTCAAGTCTATGTTACCTTTGTTGGAACCTGCCTCAAATCCTTTTCTGAAAGAAGCAGGCTGTGAATAAATGAGTGAGCAAACGGCTAGTTAGCCAGGACATCCAACTCTCTAATAGAATGCTTTGTCTTCAGAATTTATGATAATTTACTCCAAGTTTTAAGATAACATACATCATTTGGGGGAACAGAGAAACACTGAATTCAGACAGGGAGATTTCAGGACTCTGAAGGAACAACCTAGAAGCAGGAAGAGTAATGCTTTACACACTTTCTGTGGTTTAATCCTCACCACAACTGAGGCAGATGTTTAGTTCCCCTATTTCACAGGTGAGGAAAGTGAGGCTCTGAGAAGTTTAGTAACTCACTCAGGGTTGCAAAGCCAGCCTGAGGTGGAGCCTGGAGCAGAATCCAGGATGAAGTCCAGAGGATGAAGCCTTTCCAGACTAGACTTTGTGGTCTCCAAATTAAAATCATATAAAATGTTTCCCACAAGATACCAACTTGAGACTCACATATTTGGTGCAGGGAAGGGAACAGAGTTTGAATGTGTAAAAACATCAAGCCTCCTCCTTGCTGCAACCAAAGAGACAGGAGAGAGAGTTCAATGAACTTCCTTTGTGTAATATTAGCATGATTCTGCCACTTGGAGCCTCCTGATGTTTCCATGTAAATATACTCAAGCAGGAGTTCCCTGTGCCTGCCCCTTTCTCCCAGGCAAGGGTGGAGGGACTTTCCACAGCACAGCAGCCCTACCTTTCTCACAGTAGGGCTCCCCATCTTCCATGTGGAAGAGGCTGTTCCCGAAGGGCTTCTTGCAGGCTGCACAGATGAAGCAGGTGGTGTGCCATGTCTGTCTCAGGGCATGCATCACTTCCTGAGGAAAAGAGCTTTAGCTCAGGATAGAAAGATCCGGGGGAGGGAGGGAGCTGGGCTTGACATCCCCACCAGGCCCCAGCCACTTCTGGAGCATCCCATCTTGGAACAAGGCAGGAGAGCCCAGGAAGTGGACCTTGGATGCACCGAAGGAAGGCCCAGGATGGCAGAGGAGGGATTCCTACTCATGCAGTACTTGCTGGTAGGAAGTACTTGCAGGTTCTGCGCGTTTAGGTAACTGCGATGCAGAATGCTCCCATCAAACCTGGGAGGGAGGTACTGCTTATTACCACCATCTTACCAAAGGGGCATTGAGGGTCAAGGCAACATGCAGGTACATGGTGAGGTCAGGCTATGAAGTGATAATTCGCTTTGCAGAAGGTCTGCCACCACTTCAAGCTGTGTGGCCCAGGCATGTAATCATCTCTCACTTCAAGACTTCAAGTTAATTTGCTCCCTAGTTCATGGATGGCAAACTGACTCCCTTCCAGGATAGAAATGGAGTTGTTCTCTCTCCATTAAATCAACTTCTTGGCTTCCTATTGGTACCCCCACAGTCTTGGGGAGGGGAAGAGATTGGTTGGGGAAAAGACAAGGGTCAGAGGAGAAGGATACTGCCCACTTACCCCCATGATTTTGGTATTGCACTTGGCACAGATTGGGGCAAAGAACTGCTCATAACACCGCTCACAGTAAACATTGTTCTGCTCCTCCACAAAGCACACATCTGCCAAGGAGTTCTTGCAGTACGCACAGTTGAATTCTTCTGGGTGCCAGGAGCGGCCCATGGCTACCAGAAAGGGGCCCCTGGGAAGCAGAAAACAGCATCTACTAAGGCAGCCCCAAAAGTTTGAGAACAGATAGTTCAAAACCCCCAACGATGCCCATACTTTAACCCAAAACCCTGACTTTTGTGACTATTCTAATGAAATAATGTGAAATTCAGATAAAGCTCCATGCAGAAAGATGTTCATTGTGCATCATTTACAATAAACAGAACTGGGGAGCAACTCAAACATTCACCAGTAGGGGATGGGATAAGCATATTATGGAATATTCATTCAGTTGACTACTGATAATTACAATAAGAAGAGCAATGATGATGGTGCTGATGGCTAACATTTACAAAGTGCTTACTCTGTGCCAGGCACTAGTCAAGAAGAAATTTGTGTGTGGGGGGGTGCTTGAGGGTGGTGAGCTTATGTATATATAAAAAATACACTTTTATTTAAAACGAAAGTAATGCCCATTAGAGAAGAATTAGAAAATTCAGAAAGTGAAAATTAAAATATAAGATATTTTAATTCTCACAACAATCCTATGAAGTAGGTACTATTATGATACCCATTTTCAGATGAGGAAACCGAGGCACAGAGAAGTTAAATAAGTTGTTCAAGGTCATAGTATGGTAGACCTAAGACACAAACTTGGGGAGTCTAGTTCCACATTACTAGTCAGAAAAATGGAACTATACGGAAATATTTTATATTTTAATTTTCACTTTCTGAATTTTCTAATTCTTCTCTAATGGGCATTACTTTCGTTTTAAATAAAAGTGTATTTTTTATATATACATAAGCTCACCACCCTCAAGCACCCCCCCACACACAAATACTATAAACATACTATATTCAGACAAGCACTATTCATCATCCCTTGCTTCTAAAGGTGAAATCATTTGTTTTTATTTTAGTGTGGCAGATGCCCACCAAAGCCCTGAGCAGCACAGGCCTGTTTGTGGAAAGACCCAGAAGCAACTCTAAAGGAAAGCTGGGTCAAAATCAGCACTCTCAGCCAACTTACAACATGCCCAATAAACCTACTGAAAATAAAACCTGCCATTCCCAGAACCCGGCCTTAACCCGAGGGGGCGGTCCTGGCACCAGGTACCATGTTCAGAGCTTCACCCACTTACCTCATGGAGTCCACCCAACGCCCCAGGGAAGTGAGTGTCACACAGGGGTGGAAGCTAAAGCTCAGAGAGGGTCAGACCAGATGGCTAGTCAGAGGGACCTGAGGCTACCTTGCACGCAGCCTTCTCCCTGTACCTGCGTTCCCATCTCCCTACCCCATCGCAGGGTTCAGACAGTGGGGAAGCAACCCATACTCCCACCCTTCCAGCACCCCAGCACAGGGGCACAGCTGGATCATACCGGATAACATTGTTGCAGTGGCCACAGAGCGGAGTCCGGCTGCTGGCTGGGAAGCGCTCGGCCCTCTGGAAGGTGCCCCTGGCAAGGGGGGACACTTGGGAACCTGTTAGGGTGTAGGCAGGGGTTCCTGGGGACAGGGTCTGCTTGCTGATGGAAGTGGTGCTCTTGCCAGAGGCAAATTTCTGAGAGAAGCTGTCGTCTGTCACCCATGGGGGGCGGCTGGCAGATTCAGAAGGGCCTCCGCTGTAGGCCACTGAGGGTGCAGGGTTATAGCTTGGGGCTGGTGAGGGGGTATAGGCTGGTGCTGGTGAGGGGGAATAGGTGGGGGCAGGCGATGGAGTATAGGCAGGGGCAGGGGAGGGGGTGTAGGGAGTTGGACTGTAATTGGCCCCAGGGGATGGGCTGTAAGTAGATGCAGGCACTGCAATCCAAAAAGATCCAAAGAAAATGTGTCAGGAACTCATTTCCCCCAACTTCTCCCACCCCATCCCACCCCAGCCAGAGAAAGTTGACTTTAATATCAGAGCAGGACAATTTCAATTTTTACTGGAAACACAATCCAGAATTTCTTGATGCCTCGAACTTGAATTTGCTTCAGGAGCCAAGGCAGATAACAGGCCCTCAGAGCGGGGCCCCCAGGAGTTATTACGGGGCTGAGAAAGGGATATAGCTATAAATATATGCGGCTGCCTGGGGTGAGGCTCACTGGGCTTTGGCTGCCAAAGACCTGCAGAAGGCAGAGAATGGGGGTAGGGGGCAGGCCAGGCTTCTATCTGGGTCCCCTGGGCCTAGAAGAGGGTGAGAGTGGGTCAGCTTGGCCTTGACTGGAAGATGCTTCGGTTGCACTCTGACCCGTGATTTGACATCTGTAAAGCCTCAATCACGTGTGTTTGCTGAACCTGGACCTAGTTCAGTCTTTGGGACAAAACAGATGACAAGGCAATAGGGTTTTTAGGTTCAGGTTTCAGGATTAGCCACAATCGTTTTCTGAAAAACATCTTGGCTTGATTTGTACTGAGGGGAAATTCCATCTTGGTTTGATTAGTGTGTATTGGTGGGGGTGCTGGGGGTGGGAGGGGTCTTGAAGGAGTCAATCAGAGGGAGCCTGGGCAGAGATGCTAGGGTGACAGAGCCCAGGTCCAGCTGCCTTTGGGGCACCCATGCTTTCCTGTATCACTTTGGTGGAAAGTAAGAGTGAGTCTGAGTGACTATAGAGGTTACCAAGGAAGTCAGAGTGTAGGAGAAGGATGCATTGCCCACTTCTAGAACCACCTCCTCCAGTTCACTGAGAGTCAAAAAACCTTTTTGAGGTGATGGCACAAAGGAGCACTGCAGCTTACCCAAAGCCTGGGCCCTCAAAACCCAGGAATCTTAGTGCTCTGTTGCCTCTGCTGTGAAACCAGCTGGGGCAGACCGAGCTGCATCCTGCACACACTGTCCAGTTAGCCTCTTCTTCCAGTGAGGAAGTCTAGATGCCTCACCTCAACTCAGTCTGCTCTTATGGAAAGAGGCCTCATGGAAGCGTGTCAGGGTAGCCTCCCTCCCCATTCCTGAGCCTCTGCTGAGGGGTACTGAGGCAGCCTCCACAAGGGTCCAGCCTAGAAAGTAAGGCCTCTCTCAGGGATAAAAGCCCTACCCTGGCTTCCAGTCTCTCCCACCTGGTCCCCCTGTATCACCTTGGGTGGCTTGTGGCCTGCTGCTCCAACTCTATGCCTTCTACTTCCAGATGACTCACTGGCCGTTCAGAGCTGAGTATCATGGAAACCCCTACACTGGGGGTGGGGAGGGACCAGGCCTGTGTTAGGGAAAGCTGAAGAAGTAAAACCCTCCACAACCCTGCCCTGGAGCCATCCTGGGAGCAATGCTGGCTTCCTCCACAAAAAATTGGCTTC